CCACGCTTTCCCATGCTGATTCGTCCGTGACCCTTTCAAATATTCCCACAACCTACTTTTGGGTTGTGACACATGGGCTGAGACATGTTGATCTAGTCCAACCCCTACTCAAAGCAGGACCATCCTCATCTATATCATCTCAGCCAAGGCTTTGTCTACCTCCACCTCTAAGGATGGAGATTCCACGGCCTCTCTGGGTAACCTGTTCCAGTGCTTTACTACTCTCCTAGTGAGAAGATTGTCCTCATATCTGACCTAAACTTCCCTTGCTGCAACTAGAGATCATTGTTTCTTGTCCTGCTACCTGCCACCATTAAGAACAGTGTACCTCCGCCTCCTTTGTAATTACCCTTTTAGGTAGTTGAAGGCTGCTATTAAGTCTCCCCTCAGCCTTCTCTTCTCCAGACTAAATACACCCGGTTCCCTCAGCCTCTCCTCAGAAGTCATGTGCCCCAGCCCCTGAACTATTTTTACTGCCCTCCACTGGACTCTCTCCAATATGTCCACATCTGTTCTGCAGTGGGGGGCCCAATAATTGACACAGTACTCCAGATGTGACCTCAGTGTCAAATAGAGGTGAATAATTATTTCCTTCAACCTGCTGGCAACACTCCTACTAATACAGTCCAGTAAGGTGTTAGCCTTGCATCCCTGAGGACAGAATTTTGCAGTCTGTGTATTCAGACTGTAGAAGGACCTGGGGGTTACAATGGACAATAAGCTGAATAGGAGCCAACTGTGTGCCCTTCTTGCCAAGAAGGCTATCTTACTTTGTCATTTTGAATGGGCATACTTCTCATCCTACACTCAACATAGAACATGGCTAATTCTGACAACCCCCAAGGGGGACATATTTTGAGCTATTTGGGGCTGAAGGCCCAAGTGGCTTGTCTGACTTGAGAAGTCTAGTGACAACTGCCATGACTCTGTTATCAACCATTTGCCAAAGGCATGGTCAAAAATGATGTTGGCTTATCAGGTTTTCCTTTATTCTTAATTTAAGACCAACAGACAAATTGTATTCTAACCTTCCCTCGGAGTTCGCTAGGTTCTACTCAACCTCTTATCTTCTGACTCAGGAGACGTCTACACTGCAAGAGAACAGCATATCATAAAAATACTAAATTCACTTTAAATGAACTAGCTCAGGTACAAGAAGGTGGCTAGCCATAGCAGCATAGAGCTAAGCATAAACTAATTGATTCTGCCAAGAAACAAGCTCATTCACAGCAAGCTTTGCTATCTTTCCACTGTACTGCAAATCTTGAGAAGATGCCTTCTTTCCAGGGAACAGATATATTTCTGATGAAATGTTTTGTGAATTTTTCCAGTGTTATTTATTACCTGGCTATTGATACATCAGCTGGCTTTATGAGCTGGCATGACACTTTCTTTCAGTTTATGAAGCTGTCATTGTAACCTTTGACAGGTTAGGATATTGTTTCAGTGTCCTGGACCAATATCTTTGATATTGCCCTAGTTAGTTATAGCCTGTCCTCCCGACTTCCAGAAATATTTTCTAGAATTCACCTGTCTGCAAGGGATAAGGAGCAACTGCTTCTTCAACTCATAGTTTCATAGATTTAGGGTCGGAAGGGACCTAGTAGATCTTCTAGCCCGACCCCCCGCCAGGGCGGGAGAACAACAAAACCCCAAAACAAGAAACGGGACTCAAATGAGTCCAGCCAGGTAGGCATCCAGCCTCTTCTTAAAGACCCCCAGGGTAGGGGCCAGCACCACTTCCCTTGGAAGTTGGTTCCAGCTCCTAGCC